ACTGATTTGACTGATATGATACACTAAAAAATAGTTTTAAAAGATAAAAAATAAAAAATACAATTTTTTTATTTTTAAAACTAATATAATATAAATTTTAGATTGGTTATATTTAATTTAAAAAAAATGTTTATAATATCATACGTTATTATTATTATTTTATAAAGACACAAATGGATTCTCTTTACATAATATAATATATATTCGATTTCATAAGTAAAAAAAATACTTTATATATTCGATTTCATAAAAACAAATTTAATACCTTAACTAATAGATTATTGGTTTCATATATAATATGAAAACCTAATTTTTATTTATTTATTTTATGTGCTCTGAACATCACTGAATTTTCTTATGTACAAATGGTTGATTCAAAGTAACAACAAATTTACATGAAAAATGTTTATCTATACAAAATTTAAATTGCTCTATTTCATTTATATATCAAATTATCATAAGGATTTAAACATGTGTTATTAAAAATGATGATAAATATGGGCTATAATTATATAAATTAATTCATTTATATTAACTAATAATAAATATTTAAATTTGTTACAATTTAAATTACATTGAAAACTACATTAAAAATTAGAGAGTTTACTAAATTCTAATTGCATCATTTAAGAATCTAAATGCATATCTTGAAGCTTGAATAGAATTACCACTTCACCTAATGGCAACAATATGAAAACAAACATGTAAATCAATATTGTTTCCCTGAATCCTTGATCTGCTGTGAAGCCTCTCTATTCAACGATGAAGCACCTTCTTCAAAGCTAGATATGCCACAACTCTATATTCAATCAACATTATAGTCAAAACAAGCACATCTTTCGACAAATTACCAAGTCCTAAACACTTTATGGCCGGAAAATCTCTAATCTTACAATGTAACCCTGGTTCACACTCATAAACCTCGTTTACTGAGTATTGTACTCCTGCAAGAAGCTTATAGCAGTAGTGACTAAAAGAGATGTACTTCAACCAAGATATAAAGAATGGAATTTGTTGAATGTAGTAACCCCCAGCTAAGAGAAACACTAACATAGTCACTGAGGCTAAGGTTGTGGCTTGTTTGGCATCCATTAGAATGGCCCCAAGTGCAAGGCCTATTCCTTGAGATACTATCACATTGAAAAGCATGATCAAGAGAGTAAACACAAATGTAACTAAGGAAGGCTTTAAACCTCCCATCCAATAAGATATTGTCACAAAGATAGTAGGAAGCACAAGCTCCATTGGTAAGTCCCCGACTGTTCTAGCAACATAATAGGAGGATAAATGGTACATTCCAGATGATCTTTCTTTTATCAACATTGGTCGATCAAGTGGAAAAGCAAAGATGGCATTGAAGAGAGGGAAGAAACCCCAGAAAATGGAATAGAAGAATAGCAAACCTACCTGTTTCAAGGATATAAACATTGTTATGAGTATTACAATGCATGTTATATAGTTTAATTATTGATTACTATGTTACTAATTTGTACATTAGTTTTACAAGTACTGTGTCAACCAATTTAATATTAATTTATTTTTTAATTCTTACAAAAATTAAAGAAACGAATAATTGAAAAGAGGTTCAAGAGACAAGATACCTGATCTTGTATATCTGAGGGATTAGAATTCCACCATAGAAGTCCTGAGAGAATTGAGACAGACAAGACTTGAAAAATTCTAAGGCGAGAGTAAGATTCATGTCTCCTCTCTTTCAAACCTCTCTTGAGCAGAACCATGGATTGTTCCCACCAGCCAGTGGTCCATTGGTTCTCAGGACCTACCAAACATCCATTTAAAGGTTAATACATATTTTTCGTAAAAGAAATAATGTAACAAACATCACTTACTTAATGTTCTTGAAGCAAAACATACTAGTTCTCTCTGATTTTGTTGAATCTCTTGTTTTAGAAGAGGATATGCATTCTTCTTATACGATGAAACTAGAAATTGTTTGATTGAAGCTTGATCCTCATGATGATCTAAATGTTCATCTTCTTTCACATCAACAACTATACCTACAGAGTACAATAATTAAAGAATTAAAAAATCATTGAATGTCTCTAGGTTCAATACATGTCATGTTGACTTGTTTTTTGTCATCATGAACAAACTATAACGAAAATCATGATTGAAGATGCTTCCAATATCATAAATATCTTGTTTAAATTGTATGCAATTGAGCTAAATTAATTATTCATCTAAATCCGCTGTTAGTTCAATAAAATCTAAATTTAGATCATTCAGCACGAGTCTCTCTCCAAGAGTTCTATAGAATAAATTTATAAAATGTATCGTTTTCCTAAATGATAAAGACAAACAATAAACACAGACAAGAAAAAAAAAACTTAGACTAGAAAAATAAAATAAAATAACTTAAAGCAAATAATATGTAACTTATGATCGAAAAGAAAGAAATAAAGAAGAATACTAAATAAAATTATTTAGTATAAAATATAAATATAAAAATATATTAATGATTTATATTAAAATAAAAAAACAATATAATTAAAATATTAATATATTAAATTGTCAGATGATAGTAATTTTTTAAAAAGTGTCAATATATAATCTTCATTGTGAAAATGCAAACTATATACTTTCATGTGAGTATCATCATGGTGTGCATAACGTAGTGGGTCAATTGTACCATTCAGAAATCAACATGCACAAAACAAAATTCTAAACTTCCTCCCATGTCGTTTTATCAACATCAAACATTTGGGTCAAATCACTTACCATTAGCAAGGTCAAGCAGAAAATCAGCCGGGTTGATGAAATTGAAAGTGGGCACAAACCCGATGGACTCAAAATAATTCATGGCCCGACATGCTTGCCCGGTGAAAAGCGGGTACCCGTCCGACAACAACAACACCTTGTCAAACATCCAAAACAACCTGCTCGAAGGTTGGTGAATGGTGGTCACCACCGTTCGACCGCTTCGAGCAAGACTATGAAGCATTGCCACGATGCGTTGGGCGGTGGTGGAGTCCAACCCGGATGTTGGCTCATCGAGCAACAACAAACTCGGGTTTACCAACATCTCTTGTCCTATGTTGACCCGCTTTCGCTCCCCGCCGGAAATCCCCCGGAAAACGGCTGCGCCACCACCAACGAGGTTGTTTCGGCACCGGGACAACCCTAGCTCCTGGATGATCATCTCAGCTTGGTCCATTTTCTCTTCCCTTGTCAAACTTCTCGGAAGCTTCAACATGGCAGCATAAGTTAGAGTCTCAATCACGGTGAGGTGAGGATACAACACATCTTCTTGGGACACAAAACCTATGTTGCGCCTCATGGAGCTTGAGAAAGGGTGGTTGTTATACGTTACGGCACCGGATAGTTTTCCGGTGAGCCGGCCGGCGAGGGCAGTGAGTAAAGTGGTCTTGCCACTACCTGATGGACCCAACATTGCCATCACCTCCCCTGGCCCCACCATACCAGTGACACCATTCAACACTGTCCTTTTGTGTTTTTGTTTTGGAGAAGATACGCAACCATTCTTGTCCCTTTCAAAAGTTATGCTGTAAGTAACATCCTCAAACTACATGCAGAAATATTACAACGTTAGATAAACTTAATCACCCTGTTAATTAACTCACCAACTAAGCAAAACACGCTATTAATTAATTACATGCTATAATTCAATCATTTCAAGGGTTTAACATTCGTACATTCACAATGTAAAAAAAGAAGTTACACTCTCAACCAACAAAATATTCAGCTAACTACTTCTAAAAGTCAACAAACTTATCTTCCATAACCATCTATGACTATTTGTGTAAGATGAAAACATACAACCTATTCGTATTTTTCCTTAAATATATTGTTATTACTCATATTTTGAAAAATAAAGTAGTTAATTTTTTAGAAACAAATTGTTCCTGTGTCTTCTTATGTAAGTTATTTTAAAGGAATATTTTCATCATTTTGGCAGCTTGAGCCGAAAAGAAGGTATTTTTAGATTTTATTTTCAACTTTGTGCTAAATAATTGATGAGAAGGAAAGGTATAATGAATAAAGAAAACGATAAATACTTTGAGGGTAACTGGGGGAAGGGATTGACGAAGAACAGAAAATCTGGGCGGTGAAATATTTGGTTGTGGGTGTTGGTGAGAATTATTGGTGTTGCGAATGTGATTGGCGGCGGACGACGGTGGTTCGGCGTGGACGGAGCTGTTCTCCGGGCGGTTGGGGATTGCTGGATTGTCAGGTGTAACAGCGTTTTCTTGCTGATGGGGCATCATCGGAGATTAATTTGATGGTGTGGTTGAAACTTAAGAGGAAAATTTGAGATTTTGATGTGTTTTGTGAAGAAAGTGAAGGTGGAGAAGAAGAGACACGAGAGAAAGTGCAGAGTTACAAAGTGAGGAAGGCACAGAGGAGTGAAGGAAGGAAGACAATATATAGGGTGAAGAAAAGAGAGTTCTTATTTCTATTTATTTAAAAAACTATATAAAAAATCATTATAAGGAATGTTAATGTTAGATAAAAAGTTTCCTATTTTTATACTTTTGTAAATACTTTTTCTCTTTTAGAAATTTAAGGATTGGAAACTTGTTTTATTTTGTTATGATTATACTGGTGTGGAGGAACACTAAATCTACTGATGATTAATCTTTATTACAAATAAAACTTTTAGTAATTTTTTTTTTCTAACTTTTTTTTTTAATATCTTATCCCATTTTAATAATATATAACTACTAAAAAAATATCACCTATAAAAGAAATGAGAAGACACATTTCTCACACAAAATACATACAAAAAATTAATAGGGTAGGAAATATAACAATCTAATTCTAACTTCAACATTACTCTCGTCCTACATCGAATCAACTAGAATATTTTCATCTCCTCACGTAATTAAGGTGATAATTACAAATAAAAAAAAACACACAAACAAACAAACAGAAAATAAAAAGGATAAATTAATGTATCAGAAATAATCATATATCACGTTTATAGAATTAGACATATAACAAAGATAAAACAAGCAATCCTAAGTCATACAGTTCACCCCTCTGGACTTGACCATCTGAATACATGTATTGATGTCGAACATCTTGGGGGACCTGCCCCGTGTGTGGTGAAACAACTCGTTCACATCANTATACGATGAAACTAGAAATTGTTTGATTGAAGCTTGATCCTCATGATGATCTAAATGTTCATCTTCTTTGACATCAACAACTATACCTACATAGTACAATAATTAAAGAATTAAAAAATCATTGAATGTCTCTAGGTTCAATACATGTCATGTTGACTTGTTTTTTGTCATCATGAACAAACTATAACGAAAATCATGATTGAAGATGCTTCTAATATCATAAATATCTTGTTTAAATTGTATAGAATTGAGCTAAATTAATTATTCATCTAAATCCGTTGTTAGTTCAATAAAATCTAAATTTAGATCATTCAGCACGAGTCTCTCTCCAAGAGTTCTATAGAATAAATTTATAAAATGTATCGTTTTCCTAAATGATAAAGTCAAACAATAAACACAGACTAGAAAAAAATAACTTAGACTAGAAAAATAAAATAAAATAACTTAAAGCAAATAATATGTAACTTATGATCGAAAAGAAAGAAATAAAGAAGAATACTAAATAAAATTATTTAGTATAAAATATAAATATAAAAATATATTAATGATTTATATTAAAATAAAAAAACAATATAATTAAAATATTAATATATTAAATTGTCAGATGATAGTAATTTTTTAAAAAGTGTCAATATATTATCTTCATTGTGAAAATGCAAACTATATACTTTCATGTGAGTATCATCATGGTGTGCATAACGTAGTGGGTCAATTGTACCATTCAGAAATCAACATGCACAAAACAAAATTCTAAACTTCCTCCCATGTCGTTTTATCAACATCAAACATTTGGGTCAAATCACTTACCATTAGCAAGGTCAAGCAGAAAATCAGCCGGGTTGATGAAATTGAAAGTGGGCACAAACCCGATGGACTCAAAATAATTCATGGCCCGACATGCTTGCCCGGTGAAAAGCGGGTACCCGTCCGACAACAACAACACCTTGTCAAACATCCAAAACAACCTGCTCGAAGGTTGGTGAATGGTGGTCACCACCGTTCGACCGCTTCGAGCAAGACTATGAAGCATTGCCACGATGCGTTGGGCGGTGGTGGAGTCCAACCCGGATGTTGGCTCATCGAGCAACAACAAACTCGGGTTTACCAACATCTCTTGTCCTATGTTGACCCGCTTTCGCTCCCCGCCGGAAATCCCCCGGAAAACGGCTGCGCCACCACCAACGAGGTTGTTTCGGCACCGGGACAACCCTAGCTCCTGGATGATCATCTCAGCTTGGTCCATTTTCTCTTCCCTTGTCAAACTTCTCGGAAGCTTCAACATGGCAGCATAAGTTAGAGTCTCAATCACGGTGAGGTGAGGATACAACACATCTTCTTGGGACACAAAACCTATGTTGCGCCTCATGGAGCTTGAGAAAGGGTGGTTGTTATACGTTACGGCACCGGATAGTTTTCCGGTGAGCCGGCCGGCGAGGGCAGTGAGTAAAGTGGTCTTGCCACTACCTGATGGACCCAACATTGCCATCACCTCCCCTGGCCCCACCATACCAGTGACACCATTCAACACTGTCCTTTTGTGTTTTTGTTTTGGAGAAGATACGCAACCATTCTTGTCCCTTTCAAAAGTTATGCTGTAAGTAACATCCTCAAACTACATGCAGAAATATTACAACGTTAGATAAACTTAATCACCCTGTTAATTAACTCACCAACTAAGCAAAACACGCTATTAATTAATTACATGCTATAATTCAATCATTTCAAGGGTTTAACATTCGTACATTCACAATGTAAAAAAAGAAGTTACACTCTCAACCAACAAAATATTCAGCTAACTACTTCTAAAAGTCAACAAACTTATCTTCCATAACCATCTATGACTATTTGTGTAAGATGAAAACATACAACCTATTCGTATTTTTCCTTAAATATATTGTTATTACTCATATTTTGAAAAATAAAGTAGTTAATTTTTTAGAAACAAATTGTTCCTGTGTCTTCTTATGTAAGTTATTTTAAAGGAATATTTTCATCATTTTGGCAGCTTGAGCCGAAAAGAAGGTATTTTTAGATTTTATTTTCAACTTTGTGCTAAATAATTGATGAGAAGGAAAGGTATAATGAATAAAGAAAACGATAAATACTTTGAGGGTAACTGGGGGAAGGGATTGACGAAGAACAGAAAATCTGGGCGGTGAAATATTTGGTTGTGGGTGTTGGTGAGAATTATTGGTGTTGCGAATGTGATTGGCGGCGGACGACGGTGGTTCGGCGTGGACGGAGCTGTTCTCCGGGCGGTTGGGGATTGCTGGATTGTCAGGTGTAACAGCGTTTTCTTGCTGATGGGGCATCATCGGAGATTAATTTGATGGTGTGGTTGAAACTTAAGAGGAAAATTTGAGATTTTGATGTGTTTTGTGAAGAAAGTGAAGGTGGAGAAGAAGAGACACGAGAGAAAGTGCAGAGTTACAAAGTGAGGAAGGCACAGAGGAGTGAAGGAAGGAAGACAATATATAGGGTGAAGAAAAGAGAGTTCTTATTTCTATTTATTTAAAAAACTATATAAAAAATCATTATAAGGAATGTTAATGTTAGATAAAAAGTTTCCTATTTTTATACTTTTGTAAATACTTTTTCTCTTTTAGAAATTTAAGGATTGGAAACTTGTTTTATTTTGTTATGATTATACTGGTGTGGAGGAACACTAAATCTACTGATGATTAATCTTTATTACAAATAAAACTTTTAGTAATTTTTTTTTTCTAACTTTTTTTTTTAATATCTTATCCCATTTTAATAATATATAACTACTAAAAAAATATCACCTATAAAAGAAATGAGAAGACACATTTCTCACACAAAATACATACAAAAAATTAATAGGGTAGGAAATATAACAATCTAATTCTAACTTCAACATTACTCTCGTCCTACATCGAATCAACTAGAATATTTTCATCTCCTCACGTAATTAAGGTGATAATTACAAATAAAAAAAAACACACAAACAAACAAACAGAAAATAAAAAGGATAAATTAATGTATCAGAAATAATCATATATCACGTTTATAGAATTAGACATATAACAAAGATAAAACAAGCAATCCTAAGTCATACAGTTCACCCCTCTGGACTTGACCATCTGAATACATGTATTGATGTCGAACATCTTGGGGGACCTGCCCTGTGTGTGGTGAAACAACTCGTTCACATCAAACTATCTACACACCAAGGTTAATTCGTCAAACATCTATGTCCAATACATGATCATCAGACTAAGGACCTCTTGTTACGCTTCATGACATAATCATCCCTTTCGACTTGATATTAGAAGTTATTAAGAGTGTCAGAATTATCCTCCATTACAGAAGCATCATACATCAATACATTACACTACTAAACACTACCATAGAATCTCTTAAGAGGATCCATGGAACTACATCAAACAGATATATCATATTTACCATTAATATCACATTCATAATCATCCTAACCACCGTATCCTATGTGAATAACTACCATACATACTAACATTCAAGTTTCATTTTATAAAGCATCACCAATTTAATGATAAACATACATATGATACAAATTAACTCACTTTAATTAAAGAAAGGAACAAAAGCATAGAAACAAACCACAAGACGTGCCTAGCGCCAGCTTTTGGCGCCCAACACCATAGTTCAAGAAGACATGCTTGCGTAGCAAATTACAAAGCAAAAAGGTTCAAACTTGTAGTGAAGTAGTGGCACTCAGCGTCACTACTCAACACCCATAAGCTAGAGAGCTCTCTGGTTTTGCAACGCTCAGCGTTAGGGAGTGTCATTTAGTGCCTAAGAACTCGGTAGCTCTCATATTTGGTAGCAATGCCAGACAAGGCTACTCAATGCTATACAAGAAGATAACAACTTCTAAATCTAATCTAGATGCACTTAAAACCTATCCAAATGACCAAATTGGTATTCTTAACACTAGAATTGATTCAAAAACATGTTTATGACTTAATTTAAATACCAATTTTCTTATTTGGCCAGGAATAAGGTCCATTAAATCAAACCAACAACTCAAAAGTTCACAACAGATTTGAACATACTAAAGCCTAAATTTTCTACAAAATAAAAGTTCAACCAAATCCTAAATGACCCAACAATAGTCTCCAAATATCAAGTTCATTCCTAAAATAATTCCTTTAGAATTTGACCCGTCAAAACCCCAAATTTCAGGCAAAAACCCAACTATAACTTTATCATTCTACCATCCTACAATTCAAATTAAAATTCCCAACTCATAATAACATCAATCCCAGCAATTCAAGCAACTAAAAACATGTACATTCAACAAGCAATCATTGTAAGGTCCTTTCAATATTAGACATCACATATTCACTCCAAGTTCATGCAATCAGGCTATCTAGTAGTAGATTCAGCAAGCTCACATTCAACAACTCCATATATCAATTTGTTCAATCTCAAACCAAATCAAGCATGCAACACAATTTACCAAAACATTAGCAACATAAAAGGTGGTAGTTAGCTTCCCTTACCTATTAAACAACCAAACGACCCTATATAACCCCCAAACAGCTCCCACATATCAAAGGACACTATCTCTACCTACAAACAACAAAATCATGATCAAGATACGCCCTTAGAACTACTAATCAATAGAGAGTCCATAGGAAGCTTAGATGACACATGCAACCACAGATGGTGCACATGCAAAGGAAGAGAAAATATACCAAAGAATATAGCATAAACCAACTTACTCTTTTGCAGAAATCGATAGGTTAGACTTGAAAATCTCGCCATGAGGATCAATCAAGCAGTCTCGAATATTCAAACAAACAAACAACAAGTGAGAACCCTTAGAGAGAAGTTAGAAAACTCTAGAAAAGTGACTTCTAGAAAGAGTGTGCGTTTTAAAATAATGAAATTCATTCATAATGAAATTATTGATATTAAAATCATTTAATATTAAAATAATTCTATTTATTGGTGTTTTAATTTTTTACAAAATCAAATTTAAAATCTTAGTTAGGAATTTTCCTGATCATTTAATCTGTTTTTAATTTCTATTTTATAGAATACAAATATTAAGGATATGTATTTGATTTAATTATTTTCAATAAAAATATCTAGTTGTGTTCTTTTTTTTATAAATTTTGATCGGTAAAGATATGATTTCAGGATAATGTGTGACACTTTAAAATTATTATAGTAATGTAGATAAATTAATCAGTGTTATGATTATCAAACTTATGATTCCCAGAATTTATGAGTTGAAAGAAAAGTCTTAGAGTGGATTCTTCAAAGACTTGAGGTTGATTATTTTTCTTGAAAAATAAAAGTATTGATTAATTAATTAGTTTTAGTAAATAAATTAATTATATTCAAAAGACAAAAATGACAACTTCACTATCAGATATCATATCATGTTTCACTCATTAATATTGAAATTAGAGGCAAAAGTTATTAAAATGGGTTTAGAA